CCTCCCACGCCTTTTTCAAATGCATCACATCACTGCCTCCTGCGCTCTTTCACGGGGACATGAGGCCTCACCTTACGCTCTCCTCACATCTGGCGCTGGTTCGGGGCCAGGGTCACGCGGCGCTAGCGCTCGCTCTCCAGCCTGCGGTGCTCGGCTGTGACGGCGAACATCGGGCCGTGTCCCGGCACCACGAGGTCGGCCTCGGCCAGCACGCGGCGCCGGTTCGCCATCTGGCGGTCCGGGTCCTGACTGCCGGCCGACCGCCACAGGCTCGGGTCGCGTATGTCTTCCTCCCGCTCAAACAGGTCGCCTGCAGTCACGGGCCCGGGTCACGCATGGCATCTGTGGGCTCACGTCGGCCACCTGAGGTTACTAATGGGGCCGTGCAGGTCACCTGAGACCGGGGCGCCGCAAGGGTCACCTGAGGTCACATACTGGGGCCGAAACGGTCACCTGAGGCCGCAGACTGGGGCCGCAACGGTCACCTGAGGCCACAGACTGGGGCCGCAACGGCCACCTGAGGTCACAGACTGGGGCCGCAACGGTCACCTGAGGCTACACACTGGGGCAGCAACGGCCACCTGAGGCCACAGACTGGGCCGCAACGGTCACCTGAGGCTACACACTGGGGCCGCAACGGCCACCTGAGGCCACAGACTGGGGCCGCAACGGTCACCTGAGGCCACAGACTGGGGCCGCAACGTCACCTGAGGCTACACACTGGGGCCGCAACGGCCACCTGAGGCCACAGACTGGGGCCGCAACGGTCACCTGAGGCTACACACTGGGGCCGCAACGGCCACCTGAGGCCACAGACTGGGGCCGCAACGGTCACCTGAGGCTACACACTGGGGCCGCAATGGCCACCTGAGGCCACAGACTGGGGCCGCAACGGTCACCTGAGGCTACACACTGGGAACGCCCGGGTCACCTGAGGCCACATACTGGGGCCACACGGATCATCTGAGGCCTCAGACTGGGGCTGCACGGATCACCTGAGGCCACACACTGGGGCCGCACGGATCACCTCAGGCCTCAGACTGGGGCTGCACGGGTCACCTGAGGCCACAGACTGGGGCGGCACGGATCACCTGAGGCCACAGACTGGGGCTGCACGGATCACTTGAGGCCACAGACTGGGGCCGCACGGATCACCTGAGGCCTCAGACTGGGGCTGCACGGGTCACCTGAGGCCGCAGACTGAGGGGGTGTTGGCTTTCTCACCACACCGCAGAGAGGGTGGAGTTCCAAGGTCAGGAGTCACGCTCGCAATGCTCGAACATAAGGCCGCATCAGGTTATAAACTGGGGTCACACTGACCCTCCTAATCCAACAGTCTACATCGGTCACAGCAATGTCATAGGTGGCACTTCCGCTCGGGTGAGACGCGAACGTGGTCGCAGAGTGTCGGGTCGCAGAGTCCAATACCAGCCAAACAGGTTTGTCAAAAGGGATCACCCGCTGGGGCCATTCAGGGCCTCTCTAAGGTCATCCGCGGGGGCCAACCAGGGCCTCCTTAAGGAAGTCACCCGCTGGGACCCTCCAGAGCCTCCTTAAAGGGGTCACCCGCCGGGACCAACCAGGACCTCCTTAGAGGGGTCAGCCGCTGGGACCATCCAGGGCCTCCTTAAGGAGGTCACCCGCCGGGCCCACTCGGGCCCACTCCTTATATAAGTCGTATGAGGATACATTTTCGGTGCTAACATGCTGAAATTAGAGAAAGGTCCCACGTGCATCAATTTGGATCACAAGACAATAGGAGAAATATATCAAATGGAGGGGAACAATTGACTACGTACGTTGACCGATGCCTCATTCATTAACGTCTGATGCCCTTACGCCCCCCTGACACCTATAACACGCCCCTTCTGCCAGGGTGAGAGGCAGGTGACGCCGGATAGTCTAAGCAGCTGAGACCGTGTGCGCCGTAAAGCTTCAATGACGAGGACATCAAACGCCCGCCCCGCTAGACGCGTTCAGGAAGTGAGCAAGTGCAAATGCATGAACGGAAGTCGTGCCGTCTGCCGTGACGATACGTCAAAGCACGCGTGGAACACAGGCATCGAAATAAATCCGGACTTCGGGCTTCGAAGTCAAATCCAAAGCTAAGGCAAGGGCATGGATTTGAACTCTGCACACATGGGGCCAAAGTCGGGCTCAGCGCTTTTGATTTTAGAAAACGGAAAGCTAAAGCGGACCAACAATTAAAATTACGAGGCCGAAGCCGAAGCGGAGTCAAGTGCACAGCGTTGTTGTAGGAAAATTCAACCACTCCCGCAGTGTTTTGGGAATATTAAACTCTTTTCGCAGTTGGCTAAAACTGGATGGAATCGGACAATGTCATGGAAAGACTCTGCAAACCGAGTTGGCGGTTTCGTTAGCATTACCGACGATATTCTTAGAAACGTCGTTCTCGTCTGGCGTGTCAGTCTGTGCACAACTCATCGGACAGTTCGCTCCCCTGCCATCGTCAGCCGTTCATTGGTCCTGGAATGGCCGGTTATTTGGGGGTCTCCGACCATGTACACGTCGAAGCTTCGACAAACTGTATCGCACATCGCAGTGTTTTGACGGCAGCAGTCTTTTTTAGGCAACGTTGCGACTGCAGCAAACAAACCACCACGAGAAGGCAGAAGCCACCAGCTCAAGATCGCATGCAATCGAAATTGCAGTCCTCATAAAAATAAATTTTCAGCCAAAGCCAAAGCCATCTCTAAAAACGACACAAAGCCAAAGCCTGCCGTTTGAAATGAAACAAGGTCGAGGCCGTTCAACCGTCGAAAATGACCCAAAGCCGAAAATGGCGACTTCGCGACTCCAAAACCCGCCTCATGCCGCTGCCTGATGAGGCTATGACGTGGACCTGTTAGCGTACAGCCGGAGGCGTGCAGTCGTCTCGAATGCCGTGACACAGCCGTGCCAACAGTGCCCCGCGATGGGACCACTGTGCCAGTGGCGCGGGCCGGCGCCGCCCTCACGGCGGCTGGCGGACGCCGCCCGCGGTGCCGCACGCTGTACCGGCGATGATGACCAGGCCCTGGTGGCGGCTCCGCACGCGCACGCTGACGTCCTCGCTGGTGTGGCCCGGCGTCGCGATCACGTCCACAAACTCGGACAGCTTGTACGGCTCTGCGGACGGGCGCAGAGGCGTCACAAACCAGGGGAGCAATGCTGGGTTGCCACAGGTGCCACCGACTGTTGCATGGTTTGACGGCTTTGGAGGACATGAAACAAAGGAAACTGTTAGCAACGTAGTCTGTGTCTGAATTTAGCATCAGTGCCTTTATCCAAGATGGTGGATGGATGGCCACCACAGTCCCACCAGAATCAAAGTCGTGCAGCGTAAAGACGTCCCGCCGGGAGACGCACGTGCCCACCACATGGGTGGCTGCCTGGAACAGGTTCAGGTTGCCCACATGATCGCAGTGTCCGTGTGTGGCGACAGCATAGCTTATGTCTTCTGGCTGGAGACCGAGTGACGACAGGCCTGCCGACAGTGTCGTCACGTGACATGCATTGCTCCTCAATATCAGATGATCATAGCCCTGAGAGAAAACAGGTACATCAAGGGTGTTTTCTATCATCACAGGTCATAGCTTATTTCAGCCACTGCTTGCCTCAGGGACCATCAATAAGATATCACTATTAAGTGTGGGTAAGCAAGGTATTGAAGGATACCTGCACCAAGAATCTGTAATCATTGGGCTCAGGCTTACCCTTAATAACTATCCTTCATGCCCATCATCAATGATTGTCATCCATATTCCAGAATAAAATTCCACTTGCTACACAAGCCTAACTTGCTGGTAATCACAAAAACAGTTATGAAGCGCACAACATTGGCCATACTCCACATTCTTCAGAATCCTAGATTTAGAGGCCTATGACCTACTAGTCATTAACCAAAACCCATGCAAGACCCAAAGCCGGGGTGATCTGGTTCATGAAAAGCTCATAATTAATTGAAACTCGTACAAAACATTTACCAGAGACCCTGTCACAAACACAAGATGTCCATAAACAAGCTAAAGCACACAGAACATGTTAATATAGGACCTGTAACTTTTGAGAATTCACCATTTGCAGATATAGTTTGATATAAAAATCATTACCCACTCATGTATCCAATATATAAGACCTGCACAAAGCTTCACCTGGTCCATGCAGATATAAGCACAATAGCATTTGAAGACTACGTATCCACAGCTTACAATTCTTAGAAAGCACTTCATGTTGGCATACCTTGTTAAGTTTCATGGAAGAACTATGAAATGATTCTGAATTTTTTGCATGGAATCAGCTGCTACCCTATACATGTTACACAAAGCATGTTTTATAGCATACTGGGGCACTGTCATCACAGATCATCACACAGATACCTGTAAAATTAGCTCATTACACACCTGCTTGCATTCCAACATTCTTCAAGGGCAGTGTTCAATTTTGATATTTACGCTGTCTTTTTAACGTCAATGTATTTACCTTGCAGTACCTTTTCTGCATCCCAGGCAGTCATGGTATCCACAATAATGTGTGGAGGTCCCTCCACAACGGAACAAGTGCAGTTTGCTCGCATTGATTTCCCGTCACCCTCTAGAACAGAATATCCATCCACAAGAACGTGCACTTTCGGGGCCGACATTTTCGATGTAGTTGCTTATATCCAGGAAATATGTGGCTAACAAACACAACGCAACTAGCGTGATCTAATAAAACGATGGCCAGCGCGGCAGAACTTCACGTGGACAGAATGTCGTTCATGCGCCAACCCTAGCACCTTGGCGCCCTTGTTGGCGCCAACAGGTTCAAGAAGGAAGGGACAAAACAGTTGACAAAGCATGTTGGTA